TTTTCTTATTATTTCACAACGTATGGTGGTGAATAAGTGTGACTTTTCAGGAAAACAAAAAATTGTTTGGGTGACCCCAAACTTTTCAACGGTAGTGTATGTGTGAGAAAGTTGGCCCAAAAACCTACTGAGTTACGGCATAAGAGTTCTGCATGATGAATTCCAACACTATTGTGAGGAGTTTGTGGAAAAATACCCAAAACATACGACCAAAGTCATAAAGCAAGAAAAAAGTAAAAAAAAAAAAAGAAAAAATTTACCTTTTTTTTTTCTAATATCAGATAATAAAAGTTGTTTTTCTAATCCCAACTAAACTTCTGTCTTTTACATAATGGCTCATTGGACTTTTTTTTATCATATAGTTACGTATAATAAATTCAAATATATGTTTTTAACCTTTCTAGAGTAACATTTGGAACGTGTTAACTTTAAAAACAATGATAAAAATGGCTTTGAGATTATGTATCACCTGTATTTGTTGTGAATGATGGCGTAGATAATTGGATTATAAATTGTTGAGGCCTTTGCAATGATTGCAGGAACAGCCTTGGAGTATGGAGACAAAATATTGGCATAGCTGAAAAAGACAAAATAAAAAAAAAACACACTTAAAGCTTTCCCTGAGTAAAACAGAATTTTTTCATTTTGCTTTCAACAATTATTTCCCTTGCTTTTTTGTGAAATTGCAATAATACACCAAAAAATAAAAGTTCCCTTTTATTCTGTGTTTTGTGATATAATGAGGGGTCATTATTTGTTGGAGCTTAACATTTGCCATCTGCCAAAAACAGTTGGTTAAATCCATCTGATGATGTTTGCTCATGTGTTAAGATGTGTTTGCATGCATAGACCACAGCTCCTAGAGAATAACCAGGAAAAAAAAAATATCAGAAGCATCTTCATTTTAATCCAGAGTACAATCAGTGAAACAAGAGGTGTAATCAAGTTTGTGGTAAGATTAACAAAAAGTAAAGGATCAATTAAGCAATTCCATATTTTTAAAGTATGTCTCATCAAGATGTGCTTTCCTTTCTGGTGAAATAATTAAATATAATGACACATCAAACACTGAGCGCAGAAATCAACTTCAATCCCATTAAAACAGCTCTAATTCTAACTAAGAGTAGTCTCTGGGAGACCTAAAATGCATTTTTTTTTTTTTATAGTGAGAGCATGTATTACCATAATCATGTAATAATCAGTGATCAGTGAAACTCATCTACTAAAAAAGAATAGTCTCTGTATTCATTGCCAATATGGTAAAGATTCTTCAATACATGCTACTGGATTAACACTCTTCTGATGTTGGGGATTATGAATAATACACTTTTGCTCGGTTTGTGTCATGAAAGCCAGAAGGGTTTGAAAATCTCTTGCTTTATGAAACAATTGTACTGAATGTAATCCTAGAGATTGCAATTCAAAATACATTTAAACCATAGTTCTCAATAAAGAATTAGCATTCTCAGTTGCCAAGTTTGGTTTTCAAAATTTGTTTGCGTATTTTCCTCTACTAATTGTGTTCCTAAAAAAAATCACCTACATAAAATTGCTTGACAGTTTTAACAAAACCATTCACACAGCTTTGAAAAAAAATCTATAAAATGATCTTACCCGGCCCAGGAAATCAATGTTACACAGGCGTAGGGTGACCAGGAGAGGACATACACCACAATGACAACAAAGGCAATCTTTGCCAATTTCCACTCACTCCTGATGGATTTCTGTTGGATAAGAGCTGTTTTTCTGACCTGAGTGCCCAAACGTTCGACCTCCCTGTATATGAAGCAAGACAAAGAAAGCAGTTAAAGGAAAACTGGGAGGTTTTCAGTATTCATGTGATGCTGCAATTTTACCATCATTTTGATAATACATTTAAGGCATATTAACACAAACATATTTCATTTATTTTACCTGCTAGTCTTTCGTATAGATAGAAACATTCGAAGATAGCAGTAAAAGATGATCCCGAGTGGAATAAAGAAGACAAAACAGCAGAGCATCATGGTGTAACTCCTGTTAGCTGTTGTATATGTAACATAATCCCATGTGCAAGATGTCAACAGGCCCTCTGGGATATAGGAGCCTAAAATGATAAGAGCATCCAATATTTGAACGTTTACAGAAAGCAAGATTGAAATGATTGTGTCATAGATGGGTGAATTGCCATCTGCAAGATATAAACATCTGAAGTTTTCTATTTATAAATGTTCTGTTTTCCTTTCAAATTTATGTACATACTTTCTAAAGCACCCTTGTTTTATAATTTGCATGTCTGCGTAAGCGGTGTGATATTTAGTATACATTTGTGTCAGAAAGGGGTACTGAATGTCACTGTGTCTATGTATGTTCTTGCATGTTCCAGAATAACTGGTTTTCTATTAAATAATCTTTTAGTGCCCTCAAGCGAAGATTTAAGATAAAAATAAGTTTGCTTGCTGTCATTTCATGGTTTTAATAAGTGGAGGGACTTTCATTTAAGCAGACAGAGTGTCTGCATAGTGTAGCACGAAAAACAGCAGAGCTATCATTGGGCTCTGTCTTTGACATAACAGTGATGTCAATTTCATAATGGTGAATTTTGCTCCATGTCTGAATAATCTGTCGATTGGGCTTAGCTGGAGATTAAATTGTGTATGTTAAATGTATTGGAAAGTAATGTTTACTTATGGCTGTGCATTTCCCTACTCTGTTGAGAAAGAAACTCAATACTTGATACTAATGTTAAGAAACTTACTCCAGCCAACAAGAGGAGCCAAACTCCAAGCCAAAGAATAAAACCACACGAGAGAGATGGCAAAAATCGTTCTCCGTTTGGAACCCCAACGCATGGTCTGTAGTGGTTTGGTGATGACCAGATATCGTTCCATTGAGATGGCCAAAAGGTTTATCATGGAAGAGATGCCAAAAAGGGCACCACAGAAAGCATAGATCTTACAGCCTATAATTAAGAAACACAGAAAAAAGGAAAATAAACAAAAATGCAGAATTTAAACACAATTTAATGAGATTAAAAAAAAAAATGTACTCACCCGTGTCACCAAAAATCCATTCTTTGTAGAGGCAGTTAATGAAGAAGATGGGAGACTGTGTGAAAGCCATGAGGAAATCACTCACTGCCAAATTCATGATGAAGTAGTTTGGCAGTTTACGGAGCTTCCTGTTGCTACATAAAAAACATAAACAAACAGGAAGATAAATAATCTTTTAAAATAAAAATTGTTAGTCCATTAATTTCAATTAAAATGTATAAAGGGCTGTGGATATTTATTAGACTACTAGGAACATATGATTTATTGGGCAGATGTTCTGAGTGGCAAAATCCACAAAATATAGTGTATGTCGAAGTTTGACACGACTAAAAAGTTACATTTTTTTAATCTAAATCTGTTATCGTTGTGTTACTGATTTAAGTAGACGTTTAGCACATCAACAATGGTGGTTCAACAGACAGAAGAATATAAAGTTAATTAAAGTAGAAAAAGCAATGCAGAGAATTTAATCATAAGCTTGTTTAACTTCATTTGTGATAAAGAAGAGGCTACAACGTTTGTTTTTTTTCTTTGTATTATTTGACTGGGTTAAGAATCATATCTCAGACAGTATATTAATTCCTTATAAAACATTGTCTTTTTTGACATGACCAAAGATGGAAGACACTTATGTTATTATTTCAAGCGGTCCATACCACAAAGATTTCATATACAATGCAATCTAAAGTGGAAAAAGCTGTCAATGAAACTCACCAAAATACATTTTGAATTAAGTCAATGTTACGGGTTATGTGTCCTCCACCATCAAGCACTCATAACCTTCAAGGTTGTATATTTTTATAATCTGCCTTAGTTGAATTAAAGAATCACTCGTCTGACTGAATGTCTGCAGGCATTCCTCTGTGTTGGCACTAATCCTCCTCCTTGAAGAGGAGTCAGATTAACTCTTTGGGGATGCTCTGCTTTTTTTTTAAAAGGTCACCTAAAAAGTAGGCCTAAGAGAAGGTTTTTTTTGTCATTTTGTGTCTTGCTCATTTGTTGTTTAAAGCTCTAGTTTTATTTTGGTGCACACATTTCTGTTCTTTTTTCAGACTACAGTACTTCACTTCCTGGGATTCCCCTTTAATCAGCCTTGCCACTCCCAAACAATACTCACCTGTGTCTTATTGTTTGCCTTTCCCCATTTAAACCTCTCCCTCTGCAGTTTTTCTTTGCCAGTTCATCTTTGCCACTTGTGTCAAGAGTTCCAGCATATATTCTGCCTTGCATCAAAGAAATGTTTGCTTTACTTGTTTTTGACCAGCCTCTGTTTTTGTAGATATTTCTGCCAGTCTCTCCAACTTAAGGTGCTAACTCTGGTCCGTATTAAAGGATCATTGATTTCATTTCCCTGAGATGATTATTGCATTTGAGTCCTCTTTTCTAAAAGAAATGCACAAATAGATTCCAAATAACAGCCATTCAAAATGGCCCTTCCCAGTCAAACCTACACTGTAGCCACTGTGGTAGTCTGAGAGAAACAATGGTTCCCAAAGACTGAGACAAACCAGGTGAAAAACTAACTACCCTCTGACTGCAGGATAAATATCCTACTATTCACAGTTACTGAGTTCAACTAAACTTTAATGATTAACTGTAAGCATTATGAGCCTCATGTGTTAACATTTAGATTTTGATTGTTAATACAGATGTGCTGTAAAGGAGGTAAAATTTAGGACAACAATAAGGGCTCCTGGCTAACAGGAGGCCAATAAAATGATCACGGTTAAGATAGAATTCCTTAAAATAATTACATTATCAATATCAAACCTTTTTACTAAGAAAAACTGAAAGCGTTGTTTATTAGAGACACTATTTTCTAACATGAAAATAACTTTAAAATAATAATAATGTGTAAGAAAGAGCCTTTTGTCTGAGCTTGAGGGCGGACAGTCTGAAACATTAAATAGCCTCCCTCAACCTGCATTGACATTAACGATAAAATAAAAATATCCTAGTTTTGTTTTCTTTTGTTTTTGCTTTATCAATGAGTATGCTACGCACCTGTTTTTTTGATCAGTGAGGCTTGGTAAAAAGACAGTGATTGATTTTTTTAAAGGAGTTCTTAGTTTTTCTATTATTTTCAGTGAAAGTTATAAAATTACATGTATCAGTTAAACACGAATTAAGCTATATTAAGAATTCTTTGGTTTTTTTTTTTCCATTTTAGGAAAATTTTTATTTTGCGTGGAGATTTGATGTTTATAGATTTTTGTGAGATATTCCCTCCATGACAAAAAAAAACCCTGCTTTATATCAACAAGATGTTTAATCTATAACCATAAAGAAAAACTATTCTCAAGACTTTTATAAGAATTTGTTTATATGTGTAAATGTTTTGAAGAATTATTGATCTTAAAGAAATTATCCATGTGTCTCTCTCCTTATTGGAACTCAAATTGTCTGCACAACAAATTGGAAGAAACCAAACAATATTTGTTGATGTATAGACAGATGGAATATGAGAGCTACTGACAATCCCTAAGATACACACACAAACGCACACAGAAACACAGTCTCTGACCCAGTTTCTGTGGAACAGTTAACAACAGTAGCACAAATGAGAAGCCACAATTTCTCCAGATTTTATGGCACACATAATGCTTGCACTTTCACCAGGAGTTCAAATTGAAACTTCAACCTCAAGAATGACTCAGCTTCTTTAGTGATGCCTTCAATTCCTTACCTGGCTGATTGAACTCACTAGTCATTTAAAAATGCTTTCTGCACTGGTTTAAGGTAAAATGCAAATTTTTGAAGCCTTTTATGATTTAGAGCAGAGGTCTTTAATCCTAGTCCACAGTTCTGCTTGTTCTGATGTTTCCCTGCCTCCACACACCTGACCTAAATAAATGGGTGATTAACCGGCCTCTGCAGCTCCTGGTGAATACTGAGGAGGTACAGTAAAGCAATCATTTTATTTAGGTTAGCTAGAGTAGAGAAACATCTAAAATGTGCAGGGACGTGAGTCCTAAGGACCAGTACTGAAGACACCCGCATTACAAAACTTTTAATAAAATGCAGTTGATAGAGAGATGGCAGGTGTGTGAAGTCTGTGAGGGTAATAAATAGAGGGTTTTTTTTTTTCCATGAAACAAAATCTAATGAGCTCCTACATATGTATTTAGAATAGTTTTCTTAATGCCATTTTTTCAGTTTATCAGAGATTAAAGGGTAATTTAGTTCTCCAGCATGCATAATGACGTATGCTTGCTAGATTTTAATCACAGGATTAAAAAAAAAAAAAATTTTTTTCCATCAAATTTAAGATTTATCATTTTTATATCTAATTATTGTAAAGTTGTTTTAGTTTTTAAGCTTTGATACTGTATTGTAATAAAATAGTCTTCTACTAAAGGTTTTTGTAGCAAAAGAGAAAAAAAATACAAATATGTTAAAACTGCTCATTTAACTGGCTGTTGCTTTAACTTAAAGACTGTAGATTTAAAGGTTTGTTTATGAATAACTTCTGCTTTTCTAAAAAGGTATATAGCAATAAAGTGAACTAAAATATCTCCCTTTTGATTTATTATAACAACTTAGCTGATAAGATTATTTATTTATTTTTTCTTTTGTGACTATTTCAACCCTATTTTGTTGCAATGATAAGAAAGTTATTACAAAGTTTTGTTTTTATTTCAGTATTCTTTCTCACATTTCCAATGGGTTTTCATCATAAAAAAAATATTCCTCTCAGATATAGATCTTAAATCTCTTTTGGACTTTTTGAGACGGACAAACCCACACTGCAAAATAAATATTTTGCTTTTTATTTCCTGAGGTAAAAAATGAATACATAAAGTCTTGGAGACTCACCTGTAGAAAGCAAACAACACCAGGGCATTCCCAGTGATGCCAAGTGCCCCAATAACGAATACGAAGAAAGCAACGACATAGTGAACATGGTCAGGCACATCTACCTTGCTGAACAAGCTTCTCTTGCTGTGTGCTTCCTCTGGCTCCATGCTCTCAGTCAACCACATGATTCAAACACCTTGGTAGGATTTCCAACCTCGCTGTATATATCAGTTGGTAATCCCATTCTTTCTGCCAGTGTTGGGCCTCCACAGCTTTTGAAATGATAGTGATATATAACATCTTGATATCTCGATTTTCATTAGTTCGAATATAAAAATTATTTTCAGTCCCACACGATCCAATTCTAATTCATCTGTAACTTCCTAAAAACTGAGGATGAAAATGAGTCCAAGCTCAAAAAGTTAGCTTAGGTCTTTTTTGCACTATCATGGTTACGGCAGTAATTCTATGAAGAGCGGGATAAATATCCTCATGTTCTCCAAAGCTGCACCATCCACTGTTATTCCGTTTTTGCTCTGCAGTTGGAAAGCTGGTCTACCACCTGTAATTCTCAAGTATTTCCTGTTGATACAGGGTGAAATGAAATTATTTTCTTCCAGCACAATAAATCCCACCCTTGTTCCACAATGTCACTGTCAGTCCCCTCCTCTTTTGCCTGAGACCTATTCAGTCATCACACCAGCTGTATTCAAAGCTCCAACCTCTCTTCTCTTTTTATCTGTTCATCTCCTCCACTGTCCCATGTTGCTCTGGGATGCAATTCACTCTGTCTTTCTCACATCACTCTAGCTCCCACCCCCACTGCCATGTAATATGGCCCAGCCCTGAGCCCTTTAACTACCACGGTCTTACATAACTGAAATGTTGATTAAAGCAAGTATCAAGAGCCACTTAAGCTCAGAAATCCATCAGACATTTTATTATTGTTGCATGATATTATTTTTCATTGAAAGAGATGGATTGTGATGCTGAGAATTCTTGTACTAGAAATAATTCATTTAGCAAGGCAATCATCCCTTAGTGCCGAGGAACTGCTTCTTAAAAATATAGAAAAGCAAGTTGGTTTAGGGTAAACTACCACTATATAAATAGCAATTACTCGTGTGTAACTATAATGCATATATTTCAAATACAACCTAGACATGCTGCACAATCATTTTTTTTTACTTTTAGATAAATCACAATTTAACAAAATTTTATCCATACTATTTAGCACATTAATAGAAACAAATTCATTTATTTAACACAATTAAATATAGTATCCATGTCTAAATGTATTGATCAATCCTAATTATTTGTAGAATGGGGGAAAAAAATATATTTCTAAGACAATAACTGTAATTCTCTGGGACCACTCTTCAAGCAAAGATGAGCAAATTGTAATGAGTTTGTTGTACAACTGTCAGCTGCACAAGGGTCAAAAGAGCCTATCGGCCAGTCATTGCTTTTTATGGTGCTGGACATTTTTAATAAACGGAGATGAAGAGAACAGAGGAAGACAAAGAATGCAGAGCTCAGACAGAGATGTCAACTAAGCCCCTTAAGCAAAAAGAAGCCTTAATCTGAACAGTGTTCATGCATGTGGATGAGTGTTTGATCTGTCTTAAAAAAGAACTTCACTACAATGTGCCTCTAAATGTGCTATGCTATATTTTTGCATGTTTTTGTTGTTTTTTTTGCTGTTTGTTTTCCACATCATACATGTGTATTTGTGCACTTGTATGAGCTTGTGCACTACTTATCACAAAGTAGATGGACAGATGCATGTTGGGGATTAAAGTTGCCACTTTCACTGAGCCTCTCACAGCTGCTGTTTTTATATTTGTGTGTCAGCTTGGAATTATGCATCAATAAACCTGTTGCTGCAGCACACGAAGTGGCACTCACTATTCAGTTTAGTTCCATTACATTTATAAAGCCAAATGATTTAAAAAAAAATCTAATCTCATGATATTTATTATAAAAAGCCATATAATTATATACACACACACAAACATAAGTAAATCCTGCTTGAGTAGGATTTCAGTCAGCTTAATTCAAACCTGGTCATATCACAGTTAAATGGAAAGTGTCCAAATTAACAGGTTTAAATTACGTAAAAAAAAAAAAAAAAAAAAAAGATAATTGAACAACTAGTCAAAAAGTC